TTATTTCATACCTTGGCAGTTGCTTACCTGAAAGCTTTTGTAATGTCTGTAGTGGGAATTTCCTGCAGCCACCCCCCCCCTTTTTTAAAAAAATCATTTGTACGTGCTTGAATATGGGACAGTAAGAAGTGCAAACCAGGATGCAGATTTTGGAAATGAAATAAAACACAACAGGTCTCTAGGTACACAAACATGCTTCTATTTTCTTCAAAAGTATTGCTAAAGAATATTTCAAATCTCAGTAAAATTTGGTCTAAAAGTGGATATTTTTAATCTCACCTCAACTCAGAGGTGAGCTTTCAGGTTTGATTTCCATCGAGAGAGATGCCAGGCTCCCTACTTAGCAAAAAGACCGGACATAAATCCCACAACTACCTCCAGCTCTATCACAACAGCTAACTCTCTAATGTTACAGGATACCTGGAAAGTAAGAGCACAAAATATTAAGAACCGGAATGATCTTACAGGTAAGAAAACAAGGAAGAAATTACTTGCAGGATGATGTTTTCTGAAGTTACAAATTTATTGCACAAATGAAAGGTTGTGTGTTCTCAAAATTCGTGACCTCCTTCCACGCAGTTCAAACACTCATCACACAAGGGGCTCCTGCTGATCTGCCGGCACAACGTGCATGTGCTGTCCCCAAAAAAGACAAAATTCAGACTGTCATGAGATAATTGACTTTCCTGGAAGAGGAGGAATATCAGTGGCAGCGGTAGGAGTAGTGGAGAAAAAACAGATGACACATTTCAGGTACACAAGGAAACACAAATGAATCACGTACAACCTCCTCGCATTGCGGAACTCGGCCAAAATTTAGCTGGAGGGATGGAGGAAGAGGGGAAAAGGACACAAAAATACAGCCACAACAAATACTAAGCTGCAGCTCCTGGCTTTAAAAGCTATCAGGAGATGTTTGGGGATTTTTTCCTAACCCCTGTAGAAACTCTCTCCAAATCTGTTCAGGGCAGTTTTGATTAAAGATATTACAACGACGGTGACAGTAGAAACTTTCCAAAATCAGAAAGTTTACAGCTTGTTTTGAAGCCCAGCATTTTTTTTCTCCCACTTACTCCACTGTTTGAAACAGTTTGAATCAGGCCCTGATAGAAGTGATTTTGTAAATTTTTTTTAAAGCTGATCTCTCAGGTGAATTGCCAGTGAACACTCTCCAAACTCTCTTTCCTCCATAGTCTGCGGGTCTGTCACTGAACATCAAGCCACAAAATGAAGTACCTTAAGACTACTCTGTCTGAGGGAGTCAAAATCCATCTGCTAGAGGGATCCATTCATTCCAGTGAATCCAAAGAGGTGTTTCTGTTTCTCAGAAAACCCTGAGGTTTACTGGTGAGGCAAGCACTCAGTCTCTACCAACAGATGAGACAACATGGGACAGAGGGAACAAAGACATGATGACAAAGCAAGAAAGATGGATTTATTTAGATGGGGAGCTTAGCAGGAAAAACTGTACTGACACAGGTTGAACAAGCAGAGGTAAGCCAAGGAGCCCAGAAATTAGAAGACTGATTGGAATTCTACATAAAATTTGACATGGTGCAAATTTCTATCTTGATTTATTTCTGACAAGAAATGCAGAATGTATTCATATAAATCCCCCCTCTCAGAAGCAAGCAGGTAAGACGAACAGAAGGACTTCACCTAAGATCAGTAACTTTTCAGAACGTGACAAACAGCAACAGGAGAGACCCCAAAAGCAGAGATCCCATGTGTTCGTTGTCCTTCAGGGATGAATGAATTCCCTTTGAGCCAGCACAAACCTGCCGTTCCCATCCAGTTCAGAGCTGAGTCACACTTGCCAGGCCTCAGTGATCCTACCACATACCAGACTGCTGACCTGAAAATGAAAACTGGGCAATAAACTTACATGGGCAAGTTTTGAGGCCGCCCTCCACAGCTCCTCAGAGAGCAGAGATGCTGCATGCTGTCAGTGCCCCAGCCCCTACAGCACAGAGGGTGCTGAGTTATAAGCACATAACTCGTGGTCTAAAGCACTTAGGCTTGAAGACAACTCCAAGAATATATATATATATAAGTGCAATAACATACAGAAAACAGAGCAAAATTTGAGGTTACAGAGATTTGTTCCATACTTATGTAGATGTTAACAGAGCCTGAAGTGATGGTGGACACACCGAGACCAGATTATGTCCAACTCACCTCATTCAGTCAGATGTTAGACAGGGTACAAATGTTTTCATGGACAAATGAAAATGGATGTTTATCTTTTGAAAAGGCTGGTGTGCAAACCCCACAAGGTGCTGCTCAGCAGAATCTACCCAGAGCTGTTTAAACACTACTTTGAGCAGGCTGGGTCAATATAAATATAAACAAACTGTGATTAACAACCAAATACCTGATCTGAGCACAAGCAAAAGAAAAACTGACCTGCTCAGTTTTTCATCATTGCTGTCATTTTGAAAATTTGCTTCCAGAACTGTGGTTTTTTTTACCAACTTCTCACTCCCACTCTTGTTCTCATCCTCATCCAGCAACAGCTTTAAGAAGTCAGAGGAATACAATGAAGAGAATTTGGAGAGATGTTTCGTGCTGGGGCTGATTGGCATTCCTCCACTCAGAACCACCTCCGTGATTACTGTCTGTAAAAGGGATCCATTAAGCACCTCTCCCTGCCTTATTTGCTTGCTAAGTTGGGTTCGTGATTATTCTGTGAGGAGGAAGTAGTTCAGCGTAGACATGAACTCATTTGGATTGGTGCCCTCAGGAAAACACAAGTACAGTGGAAATCTTATGCATATGAGGTGCAATAAGAGAAAGGAAGCCAAATTTCAGGGGGTAAACTGCTTACTGTAAACTAGATCAGAATAACAGCAGCATCAGATAAGAGCTGGATTGCTCATTACTGCATCACAAAGCCCAGAATTAAGGATTACCTGCCTGTAGATCCCTGCTGACTTGCATACCTAATGCAAAAATTTTAGTGAATCCTAATCTGCCCCTTTCCTGTGTTTTCCAGCCAAAACTCTTCTGAAGTTTGGCTCTCTGCGCTCCCAACACTGAAAAGCAGAAAGGATTGCCAGGAATTCTCTTATCACCAGTCCTGTCAAGCCCTACATTTCACTCAAGCCTACATAAAAAAAAGCTGGGTAGGGGAGGAAGGGATCCAAGTGTAAGTGCATACAGGCTAAATAACCAACTGGCAGAAAACAGGGACTCCATCCTCTAGAAGATAAACATTATAATTTGTGCATTAATTATAGCTCATTTACCTTCCTTATCCTGTATTTCCTCCTCCCAACTGGATTTTGTAACAAAGGTCTGAGCCTTTATACAAACAAGTTAATGGATTCTAATGGTTCACCCTGATGCAATGTTATTTAATCACAGCAGCGCTTCATTTTCCCTGCTGTATTCAGGGAAGAATAAATAAATAAATAAACATCGTATCCACATTCAAATGTCTCATCTAAACACCTCTTATTTCAGTTTTCAAATTCCATTGTTTCCATTGTAGTGAAATTTTACCATGCTTTCATTTTAGTAGACTCTTTCCCTTAAGAAAAATGCAACAGAAATTTTAAGTATTTAGCAGTATTTAAGAAAGATACAGCAGAATACAGCAGATACATGTTATTTGTTTTTCAAAGACTTTCATGTTCTGTTTCCCAACTGTCCCCAAATCCCATTGCCACCACACTTCTGGATGCATTCTGTGCATTTCATCTCTGATATTTATTTCGCTTACTCTTTATACTCCACACACTCTCAATTATTTGTCAAGACAATTCTTTCTCCATGGGAGTGGACCAGAGACATAATTGGATAATAGTCACCAGAACTTCTCCATGCTCACGGTAAACAAAACTGGTCTGTCCAATTTCCTCCCCAGAACCTTTTACCTCTTCACCCCACCAGCACCACCTGCTCAGCCTTTTCCTCTCCCCCTTTCTCTTGTCACTTCGGGAGGTGGGTAGATGCTTTCTCACAGCATTTCTCCTTTGCAAGTACCACTCAGCCTGTTTTTCCTTATTATCAGGGGCATCCTATGCAAGAGGCCTGCTTTTGATCTCATGGTTGCAGGTATAAATTACACAATTAATGCTGGCACTCCACCAATCCCACCCATTTCACTTAGTATCACATGTGCACTCCACCCTACCTTACTCACACCATTTAAATCCTGGGCTTTTTTCCTGTCCCTTTTTCTTTTTTTCCCCTTCAAGCCTCTCTTGTGTGTTTGATCCTTCCATGGACCTCATCAGTATGTTTAGAGTTCACCTGCCTCTGTCTCTGTCCCTCCCCTCCATGTCTCTACTCAGCAACCCCTCCTTCCCCCTCAAGGCTCTTGACACTACATCTCTCCTTGCACCTCTCATCATCAGCATAACTCATTTTCTTTCACTTGGCCCAAACTCTTGACAAAAATCCCGCTAGTATTTAAGGAAACGGGGTGCTAGGAACAACAACACATGAACGGTAAAACCTGCATCTCTTTCAGAAAGGTGTAATTTCTCACAAAGCACAAGGTCAAACCTCATGGCACAGCACCAGAGCACAGTCTGTCTGTCTTTTACCTACCCTGGGGCCGACACGATCATCTACAGAACAAAAAGGTGGAAGACCAGACGCAGACAAAGTACCACGTTTGTTCAAGGTAAATGAAGGGGAAAAAGCAGGTGAAGAAGCAAAGGAAAAGAGTCGTTGCTGCCAAGTTGTTTCAAACAAAAACTAAAGTGCCAGCTATTCAATCCATTCCTTGACTCCTTTCAGCTGCACAAGCAGTGGCATTGTACAGGCAATTATCTCTGTACTTACTGTTTCTCCCAGGGCACTTAATGTCCCCCTGCTTTCGCCAGAGCTGTCCACCTATTCCAGTATCTAACGAATGCATGCACAATTGTGACATTTTCTGTGATAGTCTGGTACACAAGCATTAGAGAAATAAAGCCTTTTGCTTTATGTCCTTTTACTGAATGCCACGTTCTAGAGCTCTGCAAGTCAACATGAAGCATTACAAGAAGTACTTAAATCACATTTTATTTTTCAAGTTCAAAAATAACAATTAGCTTTATTTAACATGTTACACGTATCAGATTTAAAATATCATGCTCTATTTAAATATCTGAATGACAACACTATACAAATAAAATGTTACACAAAATATATTTAAGAAAATGTTTTGGTCTTCCATCTGAACAATAAATAGACAGGCACTTCTACATGTACAAAGAAAGCAACCACTATTTAGAATAATTCTTATAAGCAAGATGTGGAAATACAGAAGATCTGAGTTTCGAGAACATGTTTAACTCTACGTGAGGCTTCATGCAACTTCAAAGTTTGTTTCAAAATCCGAAACTCTTTGTATCTGCACAATTCTGGATTTGCTACCGCTTTACAGGAGATCCAAACCGTGCTCTCATAAGCAATGTGCAATTTCAGTCATTCCCATCAAGCTACCTGATCACATTTAGTGCCCAAACAGGAAACAAGGATTGACCAAAGTAGCTTTTCACATAAATAACATAAACAGTAAGTCCTCTTAGTACCTAAGTGAGGCAGGGACCAACTTAACTGTACCTACTGCCCAGCTCCAAACAAAGTCTGTTCTTTTTCCTTATATATTGAGCTCTTAAGGGGTGTTTCAAGCAGTATTATGCTTTTCTTGTAAAAAAAAAAAAAAGGCATAATCTAATAAAAGGGTAAATTCCTTCAGACACAGATACACTTTGCACAAAAGATCCTAAGTAAAGGAGAAAATACTGTTTCGGGGTGCAAAAGGACCGAAAACTATACATTAAAACAAAATCTAAAAGTTAAAGTCTTGTAAATGTTTCATACCTAAAGATAAAATTACATTCCTCCAATTTGTGTATTTTCAATTTACAGTGGTTTCCACACACGAACCCTACTCAAGAAAAAATTATCGTCCACCAACACAATTAATGAAAGATGCATTGCAGTAGGCAATCCCTGTTTCCAATACAGCTAACCAGTCACTGACAGCTAGTTATATCCTCAAAGTCTCTTTTAAAATTAAGACAAATATTGAAACATAACGACCATCAGGACAGTGGAAAAGTCAGGACCAAGTCTTCAAGCCATCCCTTCAAATTTTAGTATTATTCTCGTTTTCGAAAGTACAGGAAAAAAAGTTTAGGGAGAAAATTCAACTATTAAACAGAGCTTCAGTGATCCACCAAGGAAGTCAGACCCAAACCTGGATAGTTATTTGGACTTGGACTTATGCACATTACTTTAACAATTTAAGTGTGGATCTTGCAAGTGTGTCCAGATCTTAATCATCTCTTGAGGTTTTCTACTATGTACTAACATTAAGTTTGTGTAGGAACATATGTTATTTCTGTATTTCTCCTCGATATCAAACGTTTTGAAGCCTTTGTGTTTTTCCGGAGCAAGCCCAAGCTTCTGAAGGCACATTCCAGTATAAACATCATCAATAGGGTAAAGGAGTACCTGGTCAGATGCATTATTCAGTCTTAATGCCAGATCACCAGAGTACAGAAACCCGCCACCTCCCGCATACGGAGGGTATGAACCTTCATAAACACTCTCTGGGATGTAGTACTTCAATTTTTTTTCTCTGTGAGGTCCAGCATCTTTGATCACGTCGCCTATAAATAAGTCTTTGGCTTTTTCCTTTGATAAGCTCTTCAAGTAATCCAGGATCTGATGGGTATTCACAAAAACATCATCATCACCCTTAAAAATAAACTGGACGTTCGCGCAACTGCTGCTGACCCACTTCAGAAACAGCACCTCTTTCAGAGTCAGGTTGAAGAAAGTATCTCTGTAGTTCCAGAGGAGAATGTCTTGGTGGGTTTCACTCTCGAATTTCAGCATGTGTGAAAGATCGGGAAAATGATCCTCTGGTGGGGTCTGTCCAAGTAAGAAGACCCTTTTGACTATCACATCCCCTGATTCAATTTCCTTGCCCCAGGATTCCCTAATTGCTTGCCTTCTATCAAAATGGGGTGTAAGTGACTTAATAGCCAGCAGCAGAAAAGGTTTATGTTTGCACTTGTTTGGCTGATCCATTACTAATGAATAATTTCTACATCTCAAATAAAGTAGAAAGTCTTTGAATCTGTCTGGCAGGTTTGCAAAGTCACTAACCTCTGAAGACACCCACGGGTCAGGGTCACAGGAACTGAGAGCGCTCAAGTTAGAACTCAAATTCTCTTCCACAGTCATATTGGAAAGCAAGGCCAGAATAGGGTTGTACAGGAGTTCAAGCTTCTGCTGCTGTTTGTTCCAGTAAGCTTTGTGAGGGGTATATTTTCTCCAGAATGTGCTACGTGGTATAACAACACGGCCCTTTGCATTCTTCTCTTGGCTGCCACTTTTTGAGACTTCCACAATCACATAAATAAAAATGTTCACCATCATCAGAATTCCCAGCAGCTTTAATCTTCTGCGTCCAACACTCATTTCTCATATCTATAAATAAATAAAAGGAGATTTTTAGCCTTCTTCATATCAAGTTCTCGACCTCATAAAAATACAAACTACTTTCAGGTGAACAATACGAAAGTTAGTAGCCTAAAAACAGAGGTTACCTACACCCCCAAAAAGGCCAAACTAATCTGTCTCTAATACATGCACACCCACAGCTCGTAGGTGTTTGGGGTCTCATCAGCAAGCTCCTACAAATGCATGGTTTCCATTTGCTCCTTAGGAAGGTTACACAGCATTTCACTGGGCACCTAAATCAGCCAGCGGTGTTTGCCTCTTATTCAGATCTCCTGTAAACACTTGACTGTATAATAATTAGAATCTGAGCCCTCAGCTTGGCAAAGGCAGGCAGAGAAAGTTTTTTTTCTGCTCGTAAGGTGAGCTGAAGGGTATAGAATAAATTGCTATATGATAAGGTCAGTTATTTTTAAATTAAGTTTCAAGCTTTTATACTTGCACTCTTATATCTTCCAACTACATAACAGGCAGAGCCAAATTTTAAAGCACACAATCATTTTCTGACAATTTCACTTGGCTGTTCCTTGGGAGAGAAGAGAGGCTGACAAAACTTGCCAGCTGCATTGCTGGTATTCAGATCTCAGCAGACAGAGGAGAATGTGAACTTGGATTTATATTTTTTTTTCCCCTCCAACTGGAAAGGAAATGAATGGTAGCTGAAAGTAGAACTGTAATTATTAGGAAGTTTAAAAAAAATGAAAAGAAATAAAAAAGGAGAGGTCTCCCATACATGCAAGACTTTGAATTGTTGAATAAAAATTCTGTTACCCATCTCCAGTTTTTACTGAGAGAGACAAAATGGATCAATCCCTTTCTTCCACAGCTGTCAGGATGAAAAGTACAAGGAGCAACATGAAAACAGCGTGTTCCTCTAAAGCAGTGCTTATCAAACTGTTTACCAGCCCAGGGGTATATCCATGTACAAGCTACACAAATAACTCAGAATTAATAAGGTCAGCAAGACTAAGGTCAAGTCATATATGGAACTCATTGTTGAAGACACTTCCACTTGCCACGAATATAAATGATTATTAGAAGACCAGAAAAATCTCATAGAAGATTTGTAATCACTGTTACAAGCCCAGCTGTAAACACGGCCTCTGAGGTCCTGAAGTCACAGAGAACAGCAGACAGGGGCACTTGAAAAGTACACCTTGTACTTGCTGCTGTTTTCGTTTCTTCCCAGCCATCACCAGATGACTGAGCTAGACTGACCCTTGATCTCTTCTGGTTTGATCAGCCTTACTTTCTTTTACTCCTCAACAAGTTAAACACTAAACTACTAAAAATTTAGGAAGAAAGCAGCAGGCAAATAATCAGCAATCTTTTTTCTCTTATTTGACCTTATTAATCCAAAGTGGGTGTGTGTATTTCTGAAATAAAAAGCCACTCTCAGAAACAACAGGCTACTCAGAAACACCCCTGTTCTTCCTCGTGTACCATCTGCATATTTATCTTTGTATACACTCAGGCCAGATCCACTTTATGTATTATTCTATTCTCAGTCAGCTATGAAGTTCCTATTCTAATGTTAAAGTAGTTTTCTTCTATACTTTAAAGACAAAAAACACACTTGTGGTCAGTGCCATCACTGAAGCTAAACAGCTGAACTGTTACAAAGCACTAGTTGGTCACACAGAGTTCAAAGAAACTTTATCTTCCTCTTTCAAATGCCACAGCAGCTTCCACTAAGAACAGATAATTAAATATTATTTTTCTTCACTTTCCTTCCAGTACAACAAAAATACTGAGGCAGCTGTCCCCTGATTGTACTACTCCATGCAGCTCAGCATGCACATCAGTGCTTATCTACCCTGTCCTCTGAAGCACTTCTCACCAGAACAACAAATGATGTGGTATCTGACCTATGATCCCGGGACTCCTGACACAACGGGATGACATGCTCCCTCCTAGTAACAGCCAACAAAACTCAGGATTGTCAAGAGCTCAGCCAAAGCTTGATTTTTCAGGAAATGTAGCACTAACACAGCACGTCTGTCACAGCCCCCAGCTTACTAAACTGTGAGTATTCAACACCTCTGTAAGTCATCAGGATACCTGACTCTTCTGAACACCAGACACCATTTGCAAACACTTAACAAAATCCTTCAAAACACTGTGACTGCAATCCTCTGCAGCAAATGAGACAGGGATCCTATGCAGAAAAATCTCCATTTCCTATTAGACTTGGTAGAACTTTTCATCAGAAGTCTGGCAAGGTGATAGTGGTTCCATCACACACAGCACAGCAAATGCTATCAGTCCCACAAGTAAATACTTCCAGCCTCAACCCTGTTCAAAGCTGGATCCACAAGCAGCTCAACCACTCTTATCACCTGATCGCTCTTGCTGATGGAGACTCTCTCTCCTCCTCCCTTTCTGACTCCAAGAACTCGGGGCCAACCCCTCCCTCACACTGGCTCTGGTGCTCTGCCAAGCCTCTCCATGAATCAGTTCCCATCACCAACCCAGCAGAAACCCAACCCTGACCAGAGATGCACACCAGGTAAGCACCACAGCAGCTACAGCGGAAGCACAGGGCAGAAGGAAGCAAAGCAGACACATTTCCTCTCTTCAGCTGGGATGACAACACATGAACAACTGAGCCTTGGTTCTGGATCCACAGTCCCCACCATCCTCCAACAAGAGGCTTTGTGGCACTGTAGCTGTGACAGCATCACACTTACACCCTGCTGCAGGCAGTCATGTACCACCAGTCTCTGAACAGACCGTGCAGGTGCAAGCTAAAACATTCAACTTTTCCACCTTCTTCCAAGTCTGACAGAAGCCACAGCCTTTAAACTGCAAATACTTGTATCTACTGCTGAGGACAGGAGTTATGATGTATTTTCTAAGTGGGTTGAGTAACATGTCTACATTATCTGACTGCCAAACCCAAGCATTAAAAGTCCATTTATTTACTGGGGCTGAAAAAAGATAAGATAATCCTTATTAGCTACAGGTATTACACCTACCACTCTACTGGTTCAAGAGTAAACTATCAGGAATTTGGCAAAACAACGTTTTAATTCAGCTATCTAATAGATATAACCACCCTTCTCTCTTTGCAGAGGCAAGCTGTAACTAGCACTAAGGCAGACTTGGATTTTACCATGTAACTTCAGTCTGAGGCCTGGTATCCTTTATAGAAGTTGTACATGCAGCACAACTTCTGACACTGTCAGCAACAGTGTATGCAATAGTGACACTACACTTCTGAAAATAATTTAATTACTTAACACATCACAAGGCATACTCAGTCCTACTAACCTCCTGTGAGATGTATCAGTTCTCCTAAAAGCTCAGTTTTGTTCAGTGAGTCAAGAGATTTCCGGATTGAGCAACAACAGTTTTAGAATGTGAAGATGTCAAGAGCCCCAGGCTGTTACAAAAAGTCTGTGCTATTTCCAGCTTTTAAGAACTTGAACACTATTTATTTTTTAACTACACACAGTCATATCTCTTTTCCCCCCCTCAGAGCTCTACACAAGTTCACTTTTGTACAATAGTAATTAAGAAAATCTTAAGAACTGGAAAATACCGAACAGATATCAGTATTCTGCTTCTACAGAAGCACGTCACACACAGTGGCTACCACTGAAAACAGTCAATGTTCTCTGTGTCCTTCAAACAGCACAGTCTGAAACAATGCTCCAGTTGGAAGAAAGTTACCAAGATAACACACTACTCAAAGCAAAGAGTGCAATGAAATTCAGAGCAGTTATATGTTTATTTTAACATTAGTTTTCATTATTTGCATATACCTGCTTTGAGACAACTTTCGGCATATTATTCAGCTTTGGGAGAAATTCCAATCTTCCAGTATTTGAATACCAAAGGACACCAGTGCAACTTGTGCATGGAATTTCAAGACCTGAGTAAATAGCAAGACTAGGAAAGGATGTATTTGTATTTTCCTAAAACACACTCCAAGGCATAAAGAACTATAAAGAGTTTGAATAAATGCCAAATTAACTTCACATTCTGTTTCTCACCAGTTATCTTCAGCACATTTTTGCTCAAAAAAACCCCAAAAGCAACACCAAAAAAATATTGATGTTATTTTTCTCTATACACATTTGCCATACCAGCTATATGATGAACTTTTATCTGTTGTCCCTTCCCCTTCTTTTTGGTCATTTTTGATATTACAATAACAACAAGAAAACCAAATCGTTTAGTACTTAAAGCTCACAAATAAGAACTTGTGGAGACTCGTTTAGTACTTAAAGCTCACAAATAAGAACTTGTGGAGACTTTTTTTAGAGCTGTACATCAGTGGGACTTGGTGCAAGGTGCAAACCACAGAACATACTCAGTTTTGCACAGCCTATGAAGTCACTGTGCACCCCACGCACAAGTGATGGCTCTGAAGTGAAAGAACAAAGCAAGACTCCCCTCGAAGCCTCTTAAACCTCATCCAAGTCACAACCAAAATCAAGCAGAGAGAACATGTTCCAACAAGGTTCTTCTACAGCACAACCCACAAGTGACCACACTCCTTCACTGGGTCTCATCAAGCCTCCAAATCGCAGGGATCAAGAGTCAGCCTTGATGAGGTGAGAACACCATCCCATAAGCTTGTCAGGAGACAATCAGATTATCCTGGAAGCCAACTCCCCAAGGTGCAATGCACAGACCCTGCAGCTAATCCGAAGGGATCTGTGAGCACTACATTTAAATTTCTCAGACTACCACCACCACCACCACCACCTGGATGCCAGCAGCTTTTCACCTTATGCAGAGTCTTGCTTTTCAAAGCAATCAGATAACGTTTAAAGGCATTGCTCAGAGCAGTTACGTTCCAACGAAACTCCAGAAGTTAACTTGCCAAAAGCTAAGTTAACTTCTTGAGTTAACTTCTAAAGGCAGGGAAATCCCTCCTACATTAAAGTTTGTGAAAGCTTAATGAGAATTTAACTCCCTACCCCTAATAGCCTACTTGACTGCTGTCCCGACACTACTAA